ATATTTTTTGATATGTATTCATTTCTTTATGAATCTTTTGTTTAAGCCATGTAACTGAAACAAATTTCTTTCTGAATAACAACTAGTCACCATTCCAATTCATTCTTGGGTCTCCAAGTAGCCCAGTTAGTTTCTGTACACGTTCATCTCATTCATATCTATTTCATCATGTTGCCTAGCAGAACAAATCTTTTTTCTCGAACCACTTAGTTCAGAACGTTGCACTCTCTTTCCTCCCAAATATCTGGTTCTTCCTAATCACTGTTAAACGGAGCGTAACATGCAGCTATTATCAACCAAAGCTTCCTACTTCCTTGCGCATCCAAAACCACCGAGGTGATACCAATTTATTCTTTCTGACATAGTTTTTAGCCCTTTCATTCATAATTAAACCTAACCTTTCACTTCACTGCATGTGTTCACCAACTGCAATGAGTACCAGTTTGGATTTCTGAATTGGTGCTGCACATGGTATCGTCTTTGAAAAACATTTGGAAGCTCAAAGTTTGTCAGGCCCAAGAAAACCACAGAAGGAGTTATTTCTGAGTAGTTTATTGTTGGTTGCCTATGAACAGAAATCTGGCTAAAGCAACTATCTGCACAATTGTTAGGCCATCTCCACCACCACTCCACAATTTATAGAGCTTCTGGATGTTCTTCAGGAGCAGCCCCATTGCACTGATCTCCAATCTGGTTTTACTTGGTTTTTAAATATTCCTTTCAACACTTAGAATCGTTGCTGTGGAATGGATGACTATATAAACTGCTTAAATCAACATTCCATAAGATTAGCTTTTAATTCTGAGACAAATTGCTTTTATGGAATTTTGAAGATCGATCACAATCTTGCATTCAGAATCATAACATTTCCCTATTTGACATAGTAGTTCTTGGAATACTAGAATTTATGAATAAACAAGGGATTACTGAGGATTACATCATCATTTTTGGGATTCAAAATTCCATCTATCCACATGCAACATTCTAGACAAGATTGTGCAAGAAATTTCTGCTCGGATGATGAAAATCTTCATTCATTTTCTCCCTCTTACAAACCCTTGCATCTTTCCAAAATGTTTTGGAGAAGCTTGAGGTTGGAAGAGGCCAATTATTTTTTTTCAATGGATATTTTTTCTGCTGATGGACATGGCATAAGATATAGAAGCTATAGTTGGATGGAAGTGGAATACAATATAACATTGTTGGCAAACCTCTGGGAGTTGAAGTCCACAAGTCTTAAAGTTGCCAAGGTTGGAGACCCCTGGTCTAAGAAGTCAAATAAATAAATATTTTAAAATTTCTTATTTTTCATTTTGAATACAGTTAAGTACTGATAGAAATGACCCACAAAACCCAAATTCTTTGGGTTCGTCATTTTTAAGAATGTAAAAAAGGTCCTGAGACCAAAATGTTTGAGAATCTAGCATCATCCAGCCATTCCTGATGAAACAAACTACTGTACTAAGAAAAACAGACCTTGTATATTATCCCAACAGTGCATGGGGGAATGCTAGAAACTGGAAAGAGCAGCACCCCAGCACACACGCTCGGGAGCACAGGAAACCGGAAGAGCAGTTCCCTGGTACGCAAGTGCACGCTGGGAAGCTGAGATTCTGGTTTCCGGTGTGCGCATGCACATGCATGCCAGTCACCTGGTGGTCTGGTTTCTGGCGTGCATGTGAAGACCAGCTGGCCGGCATGCATGCGCATGCCAGAAACCAGAAGTTTAGCTTCCCAGTGTGCACATGCGCGCTAGGGAGCTGCTCTTCCCATTTCCGGTGCTCCAGCGTGGAACCCAAATTAGCAATGGGCAATGGTTGGTGTGCCCAGAGAGATGGCTCTGTGTGCCATGTCTGGCACATGTGCCATAGGTTCACCATCACGGCAATATAAGGATTGTGGATAGTAAAACGAAGAAAGATTGGGTTATAAGAATGAATAGATGATGAATAGGTGAATGAATGTGAAATAAATACAACAATGCATTTGGTCACAGAAACTGAATTAAGTTTCAGTTGCAAAAGAAATATATGAAGAATGAATGGGTCAAATGTGATTGAAGGTAATGGGCTGGACTCCCAGGAGTCAGGGGGCACATTCCAGAGGAGTAAGAAGCAACTTAGTTCAGACAGTTTGTGTGATAGAAAGAGGGTGAAGACAGCCCCTCCCTAGTAGTTCTCAGAATATATGCTTGATTTAGATAAGGGTGCTATAGTTTGGCAAGACTTTGTCTATAGGTGTGGAACAATAAAGAAATCTGCTTGGAAGAATCACCATGTGTCTTTCTTGATTTTTGGGATCTGATAAGAAGAGATAGACTGGGACAGTTATGTAGAATGAGGTTAATGAGATCGTGAAAAAGGTAGCAGTGAGAAGTTTAAAGAACAAAAGGCAACACATGAAGTGGAAAGTGGACTTGGTCACAGAAGAATTTGAAAGTTACAAAGCAGTAGAATGAACGACACTGCATAAACCTGATTTAGTTAAATTCATTATTTCCCCTTATCTTTCATTATTTCTTATTCTCTTTCAAAGATCTGCATATTAAATGTGCTACATTTATATGTACTTATGTGAAAAATCTGGCTTGCCTCAAATCCCTTTCAATAGAGTTCATAGTGTGGAAGATCCATCTTTGATCGGGGAATAAATCAGTTAAATAAATTCTCCTCTGGATCCAGAACAACATGAGAAGTACGGAAGTTAAGGGATTCATAAGAAAAAAACTCCCTTCACTGTTTGTACATTGCCAAACCACAATGTGCTTTGGCTTAGCACATTGCATGACTTAAACTATCTGGTCTTAGACAATAATCCCCACCCTGACCTAAACTATTCTTCTGTTGAAAGACGAATGACGACAGGAAGTATAGATTCTGGCTGGTTCCAATATTGTTATTCTGAAGACTTTTTGCCATTTTGCTGCATATTTCCAGAGTAGCTTTTACATTTGGGTCTTTTTCCAGTCAATTTGTGTTTGACAAATCACTATAACAAAGGCACAGAATTTTCTCCACCATGATAACCTTGAATAGGATCTTCAGAACTCCTGAAAGTTGTCTCTGTATTGTGGTTTGCAATGTGACAGAAATGGAAAGACATAAATAATTGTATTATTTTAACTTAAACCCATTTCAGTATTTGACAACCTGCCCTCTATGTTTTGGAGAAATGTCAAAGCACAAAAGTGGCTTTTGTCTTTAAAGAAAGCCGGACTTCTCTTGAGAACAGGGAATTCTTCATTTGATTGTAACATTAAATCTTTTATAAGAACTTCTTTTTTCATTGCAGGTGAAAATTACCTTTGTCACTAATTATTCAGGCTTCAAGATAGAGCTTGGCTGTCTTTAAAATCCAGAGGGCTTTCATAAGATTCTGTTCTGATCTGAAATCTTCTACAAAGCTTAGTGTTCCCAGATCAGCAACATTTGAGAGCTACAGTATGTTGATTTATTTTTGTCAGCTTTCGTAATGTTTTTGAAAGGCTGAGAGTCTATTTCCTTACTGGGGCGATCCTTGTCTGATTCTTCTTCATTTATTTATTTATTTATTTATTAATTAAATTTCTATACCGCCCTTCTCCAATAGGACTCAGGGCGGTGCACAGCCAAGATAAAAACAAAGCATACAAAATTTAAGAACAGTATTAAAATAATTAAATATTTTGGCCGAAATTAAGATAACCCAATTTAAAATCAATTTAAAATTTAACTCAGGCCAGCCCAGCTTGTTGAAATAAATAGGTTTTCAGGGCCCGACGAAAAATCCGGAGGTCTGTTATTATACGTAACTCTGGGGGAAGGTTGTTCCAGAGGGTGGGCGCCGTCACAGAGAAGGCTCTCCCCCCTGGGGGTCGCCAGCCGACATTGTCTGGCGGACGGCACCCTGAGGAGGCCCACTCTGTGCGAGCGTACTGGCCGGTGGGAGGCTATTGGTGGCAGAAGGTGGTCTCGTAAATACCCCGGCCCTAAGCCATGGAGCGCTTTAAAGGTGGTCACCAACACCTTGAAGCGCACCCGGAAGACCACTGGGAGCCAGTGCAGCTCGCGCAGGAGAGGTGTCACATGGGAGCGCCTCGTCGCCCCCATAATCCCCCGCGCGGCCGCGTTCTGGACCAGCTGGAGCCTCCGGGTGCACCCCAGGGGGAGCCCCATGTAGAGAGCGTTGCAGTAGTCCAGGCGGGAAATGACTAGTGCTTGAGTGACTGTGCGTAGAGAGTCCCGATCTAGAAAGGGGCGCAGCTGGCGTATCAGGCGAACCTGATAAAAAGCCCCCCTGGCCACGGCCGTCAAATGATCTTCTAAAGACAGCCGTGCGTCCAGGAGGACGCCCAAGTTGCGAGCCCTCTCCGTGGGGGCGAGTGATTCGCCCCCAATAGCCAGCGATGGCGTCAGCTGGCTATATCGGGACGCTGGAAGCCACAGCCACTCGGTCTTGGAGGGGTTGAGTCGGAGCCTGTTTCTCCCCATCCAGGCCCGCACGGCCTCCAGACACTGGGACATCACTTCAAGGGCATCGTTGGGGTGGCCTGGGGTGGAGATGTACAGCTGGGTGTCATCAGCGTACTGATGGAACTCCACCCCAAAGCCACGGATGATCTCACCCAGCGGCTTTACATAAATGTTGAACAGAAGGGGCGAGAGGACCGACCCTTGTGGCACCCCACAAGCAAGGTGCCTCGGGGTCGACCGCTGCCCCCCCGTCAACACAGATTGCGACCGGTCAGAGAGGTAGGAGGAGAACCATGGCTTCAAGCCCTAAAGGTAGCAGCTCAGACAAAAGTGATTAGAGATGAAACTGACTAGAAATTTTCTCTCTCTTTGCTGCAGAGTTTGTAGGGGATTATTTGGAGATGGGGCAATACTTTTCATCCCCTACTCATTGCATTTCAAACTAAGATCAGCCAGTCATTTGTCAACCATGTGCCCACATTGGAATGTGAAAACAGTGGCAGTGTTCTAGTACCAATATCCAACCCTTTTCATGATTAATGGAAAGTATTAACATTTACAAACATTACTTTAATATCAGGTTCTTTTAAAGCACAAGTTATCTATTTAACAAAGGCATCTGCAACCTACTCAGTCAATAATAATAATTACATCAATAGTGAAGACTATAAAGCATCATTTGCTTAACTCAGTCATAAATGTACAAGTCGTTTTGCAAAACCCAAGTAGAAAGAAAACATCTGGATTTTTCTCCCCTATTCAGAATCCCCATCTAACAAGACTATTTTACAAGAGTAAAAGTATCAGTAGACCAATTTATATAAGAAAAAAAATGTACAATTGATGGTGTTTCCAAAAGAATCAACAAGTATAAGAAAGTGTTTAAAGCGAGACTATATAAAGTATTTCATCAAAGATTACAAGTTTATCATAATCTTGTCAATTAAGATGATAATCTATCATGTATTATTCTGTTAATTATCAATATGTAAACTTCATCTTTACTTGGTTCTGTAGCTTCTCATATCTTTTTCCTAGTGTCATGCAAGCATACAGTTTACCTGAGCTAAGACGTGTTTAGGATAGAACATAATTGTTGGCCTTCGTTATTTTCAGTTCTGACCATTCAATTCTCAGTCTTTGAATCACAACAGATTTAAAACAGAGTGTCTTGGTTAAAGACAACAGAATTCTCTTATACCAGGGTTTCTCAACCACGGGAACTTTAAGAAACATGGACTTCAACTTCCAGAATTTCCCAGCCAGTCATGCCGGCTGGGGAATTCTGGGAGTTGAAGTCCACATGTCTTAAAGATGCCAAGGGAAACTCTACTCTACACAATCAGGAACTATATAAAATAATCTTTTCCTCAAATAAAATGTTAGAAACCTCTTCCAAGTTAACCTGGGAAGCCTGACACTTGTATTACAATATGTTAGCAAGTCAACTATACATAGCAGGACTTATTTGGACTTAATTTTCATTCTTTGTTACATCCCTCTGTGTTTCTTATCCTGGATAATTTCTACACCTATACAAGGGTAATATCTCACTTATCTCTAATTTCACCTGTGACTTATTTATGGATATCTTCCTATTTGCTTTACCTCCAAATCAATAATAAGGCTTGAATCAATGGCAAATGTAAGGAGACTGATTTGGTCCCGTTGTTGGGCTTATACAGTGGGGCAAAAAAGTATTTAGTCAGCCACCAATTGTGCAAATTCTCCCACTTAAAAAGATGAGAGAGGCCTGTAATTGTCACCATAGGCAGACCTCAACTATGAGAGACAAAATGAGAAAACAAATCCAGACAATCACATTGTCTGATTTGGAAAGAATTTATTTGCAAATTATGATGGAAAATAAGTATTTGGTCAATATCAAAAGTTCATCTCAATACTTTGTTATATATCCTTTGTTGGCAATGACAGAGGTCAAACATTTTCTGTAAGTCTTCATAAGGTTGGCACACACTGTTGCTGGCATGTTGGCCCATTCCTCCATGCAGTGATGTTTTGGGGCTGTCGCTGGGCAACACGGACTTTCAACACCCTCCAAAGGTTTTCTATGGGGTTGAGATCTGGAGACTGGCTAAGCCACTCCAGGACCTTGAAATGCTTCTTACGAAGCCACTCCTTCGTTGCCCGGGCGGTGTGTTTGGGATCATTGTCATGCTGAAAGACCCAGCCACGTTTCATCTTCAATGCCCTTGCTGATGGAAGGAGGTTTGCACTCAAAATCTCACGATATATGGCCCCATTCATTCTTCCCTGTACACGGATCAGTCGTCCTGGTCCCTTTGCAGAGAAACAGCCCCAAAGCATGATGTTGCCGCCCCCATGCTTCACAGTAGGTATGGTGTTCTTTGGATGCAACTCAGCATTCTCTCTCCTCCAAACACGATTTGTGTTTCTACCAAACAGTTCTACTTTGGTTTCATCTGACCATATGACATTCTCCCAATCCTCTTCTGGATCATCCAAATGCTCTTTAGCAAACTTTAGATGGGCCTGGACATGTACTGGCTTAAGCAGGGGGACACGTCTGGCACTGCAGGACCTGAGTCCCTGACGGCGTAGTGTGTTACTGATGGTAGCCTTTGTTACATTGGTCCCAGCTCTCTGCAGGTCATTCACTAGGTCCCCCCATGTGGTTCTGGGATTTTTGCTCACTGTTCTTGTGATCATTTTGACCCCACGGGGTGAGATCTTGCGTGGAGCCACAGATCAAGGGAGATTATCAGTGGTCTTGTATGTCTCCCATTTTCTAATTATTGCTCCCACAGTTGATTTCTTCACACCAAGCTGCTTGCCTATTGCAGATTCAGTCTTCCCAGCCTGGTGCAGGTCTACAATTTTGTTTCTGGTGTCCTTTGATAGCTCTTTGGTCTTCACCATAGTGGAGTTTGAAGTGTGACTGTTTGAGGTTGTGGACAGGTCTCTTTTATTCTGATAACAAGTTCAAACAGGTGCCATTAATACAGGTAATGAGTGGAGGACAGAGAATCCTCTTAAAGAAGAAGTTACAGGTCTTTGAGAGCCAGAAATCTTGCTTGTTTGTAGGTGACCAAATACTTATTTTCCATTATAATTTGCAAATAAATTCTTTCCAAATCAGACAATGTGATTGTCTGGATTTGTTTTCTCATTTTGTCTCTCATAGTTGAGGTCTACCTATGATGTCAATTACAGGCCTCTTTCATCTTTTTAAGTGGGAGAACTTGCACAATTGGTGGCTGACTAAATACTTTTTTGCCCCACTGTACTTGACAATGGCAGTACAATTGTCAGTGCAGTGCAGATAAACTCCTGATGGGGTTATTTGACAATGGCAGTGCAGTGCTCCAATTAGATGGAATTTACCCATGTTTCTTCAAAAATAAGACCCTGTCTTATATTATTTTTGCCAACAAAAAAGGCACTAGGTCTTATTTTTTTTGGGCGGGGGAGATTTCGTCCACTCACCTCACTTGTGCATGTCGCCCCTGGCCTCCTTTTCATTGTCAGAGGCCTTCAGGAACCTCTTCTGCAGCTGGCAAGGCTTTCCTGAAGGCCTTTGCAGCCAATAACAGAGCTCTATCAGGAAAGCCTTGCCAGCTGCAGAAGTAGAAGCCTTGCCAGCTAGCAAGACAGGTGTCGGGGTGTGCGAGCCCTGGCTGCAACTGTCCGAAGGCAAGTACCATGTTTTCCCGAAAATTTCCCCTGTCTTATATTTTTTTGAACTCTGAAATAAGCGCTTGGCCTTATTGCCATGCGCTCAAAAACCCGATTGGGCTTATTATCAGGGGAAGTCTTATTTGGGGGGAAATAGGGTAGTAGGGCAGCTCCACCCCCTCCCCACCCTAGCTTAATCCTTACCTGTGCACCCTGGAGTGGGTGAGTTCTTAATTAGGGATTATTGGGGGGGGATGTAAGGTGTATATTGAGCACACGTGTAAAAATCAAGCTAGGACTTACTTTTGGGTTAGGTCGTATTTTCGGGAAAACGTGATAGAGATATCATTTTAATTAAATATAGTACCTTGGTGTAATGCTCACAAAACTTTTAAATGGCAGTTTCAGTACCCGGTCTCTTGTTTCGTATGGACATTCTTAAAAATTATTAAAGGCAAAATATTTAACATTGCTCCTATGAAAATACCAGGTTTCTAACAAAACCAAATTCAGGGTTTTCATTTTGGCGTGCACTACAATATAAATTTTAGGATTACTCTACTTGTCTGAATGACTATTGCCTTAAAATACTTAAGAAAAGCAGGGAGGGTATGTTTTGCAAAACAGTGGCATGTTGTGCAAAGCTTCATAAACATGTGAACGATTACCACCTGATTGCAAAAGAACAGCAAGAGAGAATACACACAGTCTTGCAAAATAGTTTTTGTATAAATAAAATATATCTATCCACTTACTATAGAACTACTCACATTATAAATTTACATCAAAATTGTTAACATAGAACATTGCAACTTTGTATACAAGATGCATTTTTATAAACAGCTTTGATTCTAAAGTTGTTGTCAAGATGGATTAGAAAATGCAAAGCAGCAACAGTTTATTACATCACACACCACCTGTTCACAGTTATCAAAACAAATGTTTCTCATTTACATTACTGAGGTTCCAAAATAATGTATGATATCGTCCCTTCTATTTAAAATGAATTCACATAGTTTTATAAAAAAAGATTTAAGCTTGTAATTGTTACCAGGAATGTCTGAAGAAGGCAGTGGCCTAGCCTCAGCTGGCAAGGGCAAAACTACTTTTGTGTTGTTGCCAAAAAATACAAAGATATGTCCATGAAGCCACCTGGAGCCAAACTCAGCTCAAGAAAGAATGCACTTTTACTGATTACAGTCTTAATGCTCAAGAGGACACCATGATTTTAAAATGTTTATGAAAAATGGGATCCGTCCAGGTGATGTACAGAGCAGAACTAGAATTAATGCAGGATAGAGGATTTGAGTTAAGCTTCTTCATTGTAGAAATTAAACAGACTGTGTTAAGAAATAATGGGCTATTCCTTACTAGAGGTATTTAAGCAGAAGTTAAATTACTATTTATTTGGATACTGTTAGTAGCAAGATTCTTGCACTGAGCAGAAAGATGGTATCCCTTTCATCTCCATAGTTCGGTGAGAATTAGAAATGACAGCAATCTCATCACTATGATTGATATTAAAAATTGGGTCCTTCTTTAACAATAATTGACACAAGGGATATAATCACGTACCTGCAGTAACAATTTTGGCTTCCTCACCATTACAAATAGTTATTTCTGATATGCTGTCATCTTCCTATTCTGTATTATAGAATTATGAACAATTACATGTTTAGTAAAAAAACAAACAAACCCTGACTGTGGTAATTACCAGGTCAGTTTAGATTTTTCAAGAAAAAAAAATGCCTTGTCCAACTTTCATTTCTTTAATCAGGAAACTTCTTGGATATACATATTTCCTCCTCTGCCTCAATTCATCCAATCTAGCTGGATTGACAACTCTGAAAGCGCAATGCTTTGGAAGAACCTGAGCAATTCAGTGTGGTCAGGAAGAGAAAGGGTAAGAAAGTTTCTACTCTCTTCCACAAACAGATCTTGGGTACAGACATTTTTGGAGGAGCAACTAACACTCACAGAATAATGAGAACCAGCAATTCATGAGACAATTCTCATGAATTGTCTCATGAGACGTTTCGCTGGCATAGAGAGAGAGAGAGAGAGAGAGAGAGAGAGAGAGAGAGAGAGAGAGAGAGAGAGAGAGAGAAGCTCTGAACTTCTGCCTGCTAAATCCCTTTGATGTCCGGTTGTCGTGGAAATGAAGGGGGGAGACATTCCTGGGAAATGACGTGACAAGAAGTCTGAAGAATGACTTGGAAGATAGCCAATGAGAAGCAGATATTTGGGGATCAGAAAGGGAGGGATTGGGGGGCAAAAGGTCAGTCTTATCCGCATCGAGTCATGATCCGGTGGCTGTGCTCAATTAAAGAAAAGATTTCCTTAAAGATTGGCAGTTTGGAAATTCATTTATTTTGAGATAGCATCGAAGTCTGACAAAATGTGGAGATGGAATCGTGCTTTCGAGGATAATTGCACATGTTCCACAAGATTACTTTTTATTCCTCTTTCTAAAACATTATCAATTCTATGCTAGTCTTCTTGTTAATTATAGTCTTTTTTTTAATCCACAGAGGATATTTCAAATTTTGAAAAAGAAAGTACAGGTAGTTCTCTACTTATAACCATTCATTTAGTGACTGTCTGAGGTTACAATGGCATAGAAAAAAGTAACATGATTATTTTTCACACCTATGATCATTGCAGCTTTCCTGTGGTCATTTGGTCAATATTTGGATGCTTGACAACTGGCATATATTTAGACGGTTGCAGTGTCCAATGGCCCTGTGATAACCTTTTGCAACCTTCTGACAAGCAAAGTCAACGGGGAAGCCAGATTCACTTAACAATCATGTTACTAACTTAACAACTGCAGTGATTCACTTAACAACTGTTGCAAAAAGGTCATAAAATGATCATGTGTCATAAGTAGAGGACTACTCATACTGCTGACTTCGATAAAACAAATTAATCTGAGTGAAACATTTTGCTGGCAAAATCATAAAGAATGAGCAGCTGGGAGGGGGAAAAAAGGAGTATAATTTGATTTGCTGTTTCATAGTATATGCAAAAGTAGGCCTGCATTGTAAGATATGGTAAAACTGTGGACATTTTACAGAGCTACTAGAAAGCAATGGTTAATCCTGAAGATGGAAATGTTCTTGAAATCATTAGGGAATGTAAAATTAACTTTACTTTTAATTTATGTTTTAAATTAAGTGAAGAAATTGGGGAAATTCATTTTGCGTGCAAAAGTAGCCAGAAAGTGTTGAAATCTCTTTCAACATGGAGACATTATGATAACTCCATGAAACATGGAGACATTATGATAACTGCAAGTCCCAAGGATCATCTATTTAAAGAACTATCTCGTCTAATATCAGTTAAAAAAGAAATGACCCATCAGAAGAAAGAGCAGAGCTCATGAATTTTCTCATTGGTGGCTACCAGAATGTGCCTGCTGAAATAATTTGGGGAAAAAAAGTTTGAAACAACTAGGTCAAGACATTCATAGAAGATTGCCCCATCACTTTAAGGAGGCATCAATCAATTTCACAAAGCATCTTTTGAAATCTTTACACAATCTTAATGGACAATGACTACTTGTCAGTTATTTATATGGGATAATATGAAGAGAAAGAAGAAAAGTTTGGTACCTCAAATCATATGATGACAGCCAATGTCATATGATGGTTTAGATATTGGATTAGGACCAGATTCAAGTCCTTCTTCAATAGCAACTTATCAGATAACCTTAAGCTAATCATTCTTAGCGCCCCAGTTAAAAGTTCTTAGTTAACTTATTTCTCAGGGCTGCAGTTATAGCATAAACTTGGAAAAGGAGTTTCCTTACATTTCTGGAGGAAAAACAGATTATAAATGAATTAGATAAACAAAAAAGATCCATTATGTTATAAAGAAAACAAAAAATTACACATAAATATGTTTGATTAAAAAGTTTCTTAAAAAGATCAAAAATATCCATTTTAAAATACGTACATCTCCATAAAATTGGCAAAAGGAGAACATATTTTATAGCATAGAGTTATAGAATACTTCCAATAAGGTTCTTAGTCTGAAGAAAGATTGGCGCACCCTAATTTGTACTATAAGCTCGAGGTAAGATAACTTTTGGAGTTGCAATTGGTTACCTCTAAATTTCTTTTCTCAAGCCCTCCAACCCTATTCCAACTGGATAGTTCAAATTCAGTAGTTTGGTTTCCAACCGCTTAAAAATACATAGGAAAATTACAACACTCTCGAAAGGAAAGATTCTTAATCCATCCATTTTGCAAAATTGCCCTGTCCAGTCAGTCTCCCCCAAATGAGAACTTCTAACTCCTAGGGCTTTTTCAAACTCAGACATGTGGATATTTTTAGGACTCCTCGCAATTTCTTTTTATTCCCAGAGAGAAAGCTTTGAAAAATTAAATCTGGCCTACAATAGGAATCTATCCATCTGTGAAATTTCTGTGAATAATGTACATTTCACTTGTGAGGCTCTGCACTACTTAAGAGTAAACACCCTGACCATTTTTCCCTAGCAGACTTCAAAACAAATTGAAATTTCATTTGCTCTGTGTCTTTAGAGAGCAATAGAATTACACTGCCGTCTGCTGCAGAATGTAACAACTGGGGGGCTTACCCTAAAAAAAAAATATCAGAAAAAAGGTGTATCCAATGTTTAATCCAAAGGTTATTTAAATAACCTATAGATTCACAATAGAGCCCTTGATGAACAAATCTGCTTTTCCATTTATATGCATTGACCTTTCATGTTAGATCCATATTTAATTGGCTATGGTGTAAATTATGTTTCAACTCCACATAATTTACAAAAGTCTTTTTGTAAAGGGTATTTTGGTGATTCTGTTTGCCACTTGCTGTTAATTGGGACCTTAGATAAGAAATTACATCTACCTACCAATATGTATAAAGATTTACATTTTATATAGGTATGTGCACATAATGTTACATACATACACATACATCTGCTCTTAGGAATGATGGCAAAGCAACTCTTGTCTCCCAGAGTTGTCTTCTTTACTTCTCAAAACGTAAATGCATACACAACTCCAACAACTACAATGTTCCCAATTGTGGCTATAATTGCAATCCATAACAAAATGGCATCATTTGAAGAACGAGATGTCTCTTCTGGCTGGTTTGGCACTGAGGCAGCATTGTAGACATTGGCAGATGAATTAAACAAAGAATATTCCGTGCTAAATTCTTCATTGGGTGAGTCCATAAACACTCCTCCCATAACTGGAAGCTGCAGAAGAAAAATTTAAAATATAAATGTTAACATCCAGATGGAAGATGACTATGTAGACAAATACTGCATACAGGAAAGTAGCTTAAACTCCACTGGTCAGCAAAGCTGCAGACTATGCTTTAGATAAGGTTACCTGTTTTTAAAAATAAGTTTCGCCTAAGCAGATGTACTGCATGAAATAAATATGTTTTGCATTCACGTTACAGCAACATCTCCTTTCAAAAGACATCAAAATTTCACGAGCTCTACTCTTCCATGAAAAGCATGAAGGATTAAGGGAGGTTTCCAACAGTTGGTGATGAAAGTAAAAGGCCCTTACAAGTAGAATATGACTATATGGCCCTCCAAAATAACACAGCAAGGTGCATCCTTGTTATGGATACTTCAGAACACACAATGCTTTTATTGGAGTTGATGGGCTGCAGTTAGGCAACAGAGTTAGAGGAGTCTGATATGATTTAATCACTCCTCACCTCCTCCCCCTAATGGAGTCACTTCCCCTACCAGACTAGAATAAACATAGTTTACCATATTATCTGAATCAAAGATATTATGTTTAGAATTTCATCCAAGCCAGCTGGCTGGGGAATTCCGAGAGTTAAAGACCACACATTTTAAAGTTTTCATGTTTGAAAAACAATTTTTGAAGGAAAACTCTACTTGGAGTGTATGTTGATTTAGACGTAGGAAAGGGATGTTGAACTTAAGCCAATTCATTTTAACCTTTCAAAGGCTCATTTTTTCCCCTTTCCTGGCTATTGATTCTGTTCTATCTTCACTCTTCCGCCACCACCACCAACTTGCATTGTGTAAATAAATAGGAAAATGTTGTCAACTCTAAAAGGATTGCTTTGGAATCTCCACATTTGCAAGCAGTTCATGATAAATACCAGTCAAAGATTTCAAGCTTCTGTTAGTATTGTCAAAGTGCTATTAGGAAGGAGAAGGAAAATAGCATCTACAGAGATAGCAATTCTTCAAATTAAAGTATGGTTCAAAATATGAAAATGGCTTTAAACCAAGATGTGAAATTAGCATTTTAAGCTTTTATTAGAAACTTTCAATATAATAAAATATAGAAAATAAACAAGACCAAAGATAGAAAATAAGAAACACAGAAAAAAACCCTAAATTGACAAGAAACCTGAAATTGTGTCTTCCATTCTTCTTTCTATTAAGTAATTGTCATAAACCCTTCCCAAATGATTGTCTCATTTTCAACTTCCATGAAATTAGCATTTTAGAAAGCTTTTCATTTTGTACAGATTATGTTCAATCCATTATCTTCATTTCATATAACTTTTCTCATTCATTTAATGAAAAAAATAGCACTCCTGAATTTTTAAAAGATGTAATAAAATGTTTCTAACATGCTCTCTGGCTAAATCATAGTTTTAAAGCCTAGATTATTTGCATTTTCCTCTTAGAACCGTGGTGGCAAACCTATGGCACGCATGCCAGAGGGGGCATGCAGCGCTCTCTGTGGGCACATGAGCTGCTGCCCCAGTTCAGCTCTGCCATGCATGCGTGCGCGCCTCCCACCAGCCAGCTGGTTTCTGGGTCTCTGCCACTCATGCGGGGTGTGGGGGGGGGCACGTGTAGGGGGCACCCGTGCATGCACAAGGGGGCAGGGTGCATGCACAGGGGCCACGCATTGCATTTTGGGGGTCCGGAAAAGTTTATCCACCACTGTCCTAGAAGATGACCACCTTGATATTGTTGGATACTTCAGTGGCTCTAATGACCTTAAGAACTCTGCTGGTGGATGTGGAAACATCTCATAGGATTTCCTCTAGTGATAAAATAGAAACAGGAAAGTAGAAATTAAGGGTAATCCATAATGGGGAAGTGAACATGTGAGGCTTTGTATACATTAGGATTTCCTAAGAAATGCAATCCCTAGCATTAAACCTGAAATAAGGGAACAAAACAAAAACCACTTCTCTAATAATGCCACAAAAGCAGTATGGGTTTAGTGGAAACATTTAAACAAGTTTGGGTGTCAAAGGATATGATCCCAGGTTGAAAAGCATTGGGATCAGTATTATTAAAGAAATAACCTTCCAGATGAGGATTGATGGTGGATTAGGCATCTCTGTGAGTAGCTATGTGAGTAGGGACAAGACTATGGTGGAATTGAAGCCAGGAGCTACTTTCTGGTTGACAAAAGTCCTTCTGGACTTTGGGATTATCTTTAGGATTACCAATTTGCACTCTTGGAAGACCATAGAAACTGAGCTTCTTGTGTTCTGTTGTGGGTTGAAGTTTGGGAACTAGGGGATTTACAATGTGCCTTTAACCATTGTGCAGCCTCAATGGATATTTGACCAACAAATAAGTCACTTTCTTAGACACATCTGGACTTGTATTCTGAATTTCAATACAGAATATTCGGTATTCTGAATGACAGTGAAGATCAAAGACTTTAGGTGAGAACCACCTTCTTGAAATTAAGAAAAAAAAAGCTATTTCAGTGGTTTTTAAATTAAAAGCAAAACGCTTAACAGTTTTAAACAGATAAAGGGGACAGTGATTCTCAAAAATCTTTTGAGAATCTTTTTTTGGCAAAATTGTTTCTGAAAATAACGAAATTAGACTGGACTTTCATGGGAATGCTGATGTTTATTTTTAAGGAGAGTAGACAATAGGTGAAGTTTTAAAAAACAAGATGATAAAGATAATATGTGAGACTACTATAGAGAGGTAATTGGGACTAAAGTGCTAAAGAAAAGAAAATCAGGGGAAAAAAAGACAGCCTGCCTTGACCTTCACCAAATTAATTGACATACTTTCATTTTGTCACAATGGCAACCACTTGAAAACTTGCTAAATTAAGAGAAGGATGCAGAGTTTCACTAGAACAACTTGCAGCCAAGGTCATTTTATCAGAATTATTGCAGAAAATGTTTGAAGACGTAGGCAAAAAAGATGACTGCTATGGTTAAAACGGAAACAGAAGGAGGATAAAAAAGATTGAAAGGAGAAGTTAAGAAGATTAAAGAAGATAACTGACTAAATGTAAAAGAAATTACTGACAAAGTGGAAGTTTTGCAAAGTAAGACAGAAGTTATAAATAGAGAGATGGAGAAAGAATTGGACAACTTGGCACTATTTGAATTAACAGAAAAAGAATTTTGCTTGAGTTTTAGAGCAATTCCAGAACATGGAAAAGATTGTTATGTCTGTGTCTAATTTTCTGGATTGTGAGAAAGATGACATTCAAAAAGAGACTGGTAAGGTGAATAGTAGTAGTATACATTTCACAAAATTAACCTCCAAGGAACATCCTTGTGCACATTGTCAGGAAGAAAGCTGCAATTTTATTAGTAGATCCAGATGTCATAACATAAGCAGACCAATGCCACAAGCAACTGTAGATATTGAACCTGCCAATATTAAGTTAGGTTTCTTTACAAAGATATTAGAATCGGCACACTAAATGAAAACATGGAATGGAATGTGAAAATCAGTGACCCATGTGAAATTATGAAATTGCTGTGTGCTTAGCTATAAGTCTATAAACTACAGAAACCTATCTGTTAGCATTCAAAGATATTTGGTTAATATCAACACTGTGCCATTGTAATCTCCTATTACAGATGTAGTGAAAAAAATTAGCAGATAATTGTAAAAGTTGCTATATGAAAGGACACAAAAAATAATGATTGGAATGCCAAAGTTAGAGAAATGAAGGAATCTGGGTTGAGTCCAAGGCAGCTCAGGAATTTGTGGTCTCTTTTCTAATAGGAAGCTATCCTGTAAGCATCAGCAATAATGTTGATGTGTCTTAAGACTTTTCTAAAAGTCACTGGGATAGGTCCATCATGTACATTCACATCATTTTACATTGATGTACATTGGTAGTTATAAATTAAAGTTGAATTTTGTCCTGGGGCTATTGTGATATGAACTGGAAATGGGACATTTAAAAGCTGCAGCTGGTGCTGAAAGCAAAAGTGTGGGCAATTTTTGGCATTATTACATTTATGTTATACCACTAGAAGCTGTTCTGGATCTCACAAGGTTTCTAGGTGCAGACAATCCTTGACTTGCAACAGTTCGTTTAGTGACTGTTTGAAGTTAGAATGGCACTGAAAAAAGTGACTTATGACAGTTTTGTCCACACTTATGACCATTGGAGCATCCCTGTGATCATATGATCAAAATTCAGACGCTTGGCAACTGGTTCATATTTACAATTATTGCAGTGTCCCAAGATCATGTGATCCCCTTTGGCAACCTTCTGACAAGTAAGGTCACTGGGGAAGCCAGATTCACTTAACAACTGTGTTACTAACTTAAGAGCCGAGGTGGCGCAGTGGTTAGAGTGCAGTACTGCAGCTACTTCAGCTGACTGCTAGTTCAGCAGATCAGCGGATCAAATCTCACCGGCTCAAGGTTGACTCAGCCTTCCATCCTTCCGAGGTGGGTAAAATGAGGACCCAGATTGTTATGGGGCAATATGCTATTTAGTACACTGTCTTTGGTGTAAGCCGCCCAGAGTCCTCGGAGAGTGGGCGGCATAGAAATATGACAAACAAACAAACAAACAAACAAACAAACAAACAAACAAACAAATAACAACCCTGATAAGTAAGGTCGTAAAATGAGGCAAAACTCACTTAACAAATTTTTGGCTTAACAACAGAAATTCAGGGCTCAATTGTAGTTATAAATCAAGGACTACCTGTATAATTCAAGTGAGATGTAAAGCATTCTTGTAATCACGCTATTGTAAGTTTTTTATTTTTATTTCCCCCAGGGGTGAAATCTAAAATTTGTTACTACCAGTTCTGTGGGTGTGGCTTGGTGGAGGGGGTAATGTGACGGTGGGCATGGCCAATTTTTTTTTTTTACTTTTAAAACCATTTTTTCTACAACCTCTTCGGCGAAGAGGCTCTGACGATCCCAGCTGAGTTGCCTGATCGACAGAGACTTTTTTCTTTTAAATGTCTCTGATGATCAGGCAACTCAGCTTGGATCGTCAGAGGCATTTA